CCTTCCTTCCGAGGAGTGGCTGGTGGGTTTGAACCACCAGCCTTCTGGTTAGCAGTCAAGTGCTTTAGCCACTATGCTACCAGAGCTCCTGTAAAGTAATTAGCTTATGTATTCCTTATAACAACTGATATTAGACTGTACATTACCCTCTAATAGACCAGAGAAATAAGAAAAAAAAAAAACATTTTTCTTATGTAGCACCAAAATGCACTCCCATTGAGTCAATTCTGATTCCTAGCAATGTTTCAGGCAGAATAGAACTGTCATATCCAAGGCTGAAAATCTTTATGGAAGCAGACTGCCTCATCTTTCTCTCACAGAGCAGCTGGTGAGTTCAAACCTCTGACATGTTGGTTAGCAGCCAAATGCTTTCACCACTACATCACCAGAACTCTTTCTTTTATAGATATGCCCATAATCCCATCGCTGTTGGGTTTGAACCGCCAGCCTTCTGGTTAGCAGTCAAAATAATGTCATAGGCACTACACCACCAGAGCTCCTAACTAACAAAATTCCATGCTTTCAGGAAGGGTTCATGAGCTACAAGAGACTAAATCCAGATTCCTGCTCTTGGAAGAGATATTTGGAATCTGATTTTGATGCTCAAGTTTTCCACCTTCAAGCCAAAATAGCCACACATTTTGAAATTTATAGGATAGTATTTCTTGCACATAAATGTTTAAAAAATACATAAATAAAGTATTTCCTTCCTCAGTTATTTTGAAAAAAGTTTCTCTGGCCACTAAGAAACACATGGACAATTTATTTAATAATTTATTTTCTCAATAAATAAATATTGAGTATTTACTATATACCTAGCACTGTGCTAGGCACTGGCCATATGAAGCTATATGAAGTGTCTTTAGCCCTTAGGAGCTTTTCAGTCAAGCTGGGGAGAACCATATGGTTACCACTAAGTGCAACTAAGCATGGAAGTGTCTCTCAAAGAGAGTTTTCAGAGTAAAGCATGTAAAAGCAAGGAGTTGTCAGTTTTTCCTGGAGAGAGGGGCACATGTCAGAGAGGTGTGTACACCAAATTTATGCAATAATAACATGCTGTTTGGGCTTACAGTGACAAGTTAGCATAAGAGGGAAAGACTGGAAATTGTACAACTAACTCTAATATAAAAAAAAAACACAGAAACAAATATCAATGAGAATGGCAGAGTTATTCACTGACAAAGATTTCATGGACAACTGTTCTAATAAATATCACAAAATACCACTAGGAAAGAGAAGACTAAGCACCAGAGAAGGACGGTTGAACATCATCTGACTGTTTCAAGGAAGGATATTTGAGTGTCAGAATATAGAAGAATCCAAACCTGCTATGACCACAATGTTTTTATAAAACCAAAACTAGTGTTGAACAGAGTAATATGACCCTTATGTAGAATAATGAGGCTTTCATTGCTCAAATCAACTAAAGACTGGCAGAGAGAAAACCACTGACCTTATAGCTCAGCAGAAGTATATACCTGATTTAAAGTCATTTGGTTTATTTTCTTTCTGCAATATGACAAAGGCACAACACCAGATCTACAGCCCAAAAAATGAGGTAACCTTTTTTTATAACATCATCTACTCTTTGCGGGGTGGGGGGGGGGACTGGTAAGGAATTCTGTAACTACTAAACTCTAGAATCACTTAAAGGAGCTCACTTAATATTAAAGAAAAAAAAAAAAACTAGCTTAATAATATAATGAACCCAAAATTTCATGCCTCATTAAAAAAGTAATGCTGATTAAAATAAAAAGGCTAAAGAGATAATGTAAAGCCTATTAAAATAAATCAAATTGTAGTAATATTTTTGTTGCTCCATTTCTCTGATATTAAAGATGATGTTATTGTTGATTAAAAAGGACATAAAAACATAAGTAATAGTGTCTCCAGTATAATATATTATGTGAAATAGGATACATTTCTGAAATGTTTCCTCAATTGAAGGCAAACTTTGATATTGTTTTAGGAAAAGAACACTATGAACTAAATAATCCCCTTACTTAGTGAAAGAAATATAATGAATGAAATTCATATGCAGGAGTTTTTACCATAATAAGTTCCTTTTGCCTGGAATGCCTTTATGTATCTTTCCACTTATTCAAATCTCATCAGCCCATCCATGCCTTCATTCCCATCTGTCCCAATTAAATGTACCACTGCCTTGAGCTACAGTGCTTTTGCTCTCCTCTTGTATAACATTTATAATATTATCTACACAATTTAACAATACATATAATACATATTTTACATATAAGATATATATAACATATATGTATATTTGTATACTGTATAATGTATAATGTAAATTCTATATCATGTATGATTATTACATATGTACTAACAGTTATTTTAGAATACACTATAAAATCATGAAGGCCAGGTCTTAATATAGGGTTAACCAAATAGGAGGTATCAGGTAAACACCTGACAAATATTTTCTGACATACGACCTAAAGAAAGGTAAATAAATTATCTACAAATGTAATCTTGAAATTTTAGAGAGAGTCCATAAAAAATACTCATAATAAAACTCACTTGTTATTTTACGCCACATTAATAAAAATAAAATTCAATACATACATTAAGTCACTTTGAAAATACACTACCATGTAATGGTGTGGAAGGAAGTTATAAAAAAAGAATGTAAAAAATAGATCAGAATCAACTTGACAGCAATGGGTTGGGTTTGTTTTTATTTGGATCTTCGTGAGTTTACAGTAAGATTTACAATGATTTCTCAAAACAATTAAAATACAAGGCTAAATAATAAATCCATGAAGAGGCATAAAAATTTTGTGGGGCTGAAAATGACAGATCACATGTGTTTGGGGAGGAATTAGGAAGGATGTAATAGCTAATACCATAGAACTCTTCAAGTACCATTCTAACAATTTTATATGCATTAATTCATTTCCTCTTCACCCAATTTTGTAATTTAGGTACTAATAATTTTAGATGACCAAGCTGAGAGCTATGTCTTATACACATATAAGATTTTAAGCAGATAAGGAAATCCCAAGCAAAGTCACACAATAAAGAAAGTGTTTGTGGTCCAGAAGGAAATAGGTTTGGTACCGATGTAGGATCTACAGGTGAGCAGTAGGAGACACAGATGGTCAAAGCTGGCTGGGCCACAGTATGAAGGCTATATATACAGTCCATAATGTGGGAGACTTTGGAGACTATGGATATGTCATAGAGGGTGAATGAAATAATTAGGACAGAACCCAAGAAAATATAATCAAATAATTGATTAAAATAGATGGAAAATGAAGACAGAAGGATCAGCTGGGACTTCATTTGAGGTGGTTTAGGTAAGAAGTAGTGAGTGCAAAGGCAATGGTGGTAGAGACGAGAGACAGTTTCAGGAGACACTGTGGAAGGAGACTGGAACTGACATTACAACCAATAACAAATAATGGATGAAAGAAGGAAAGATTCAAAAATAACCTGGTGCTTTCAAATATGGCTAAAGAAAAACGATTAAGTCAATCACCAAGTACCATAATTAAAACCATACCAGATGAACATTTTGGCAGTTGTGTAAACTCAAATACACACAAAATACCCATCAGTATGCAATGTCAGGAAGAATTTATAACAGAAGATCTTATATTATAATTCACTTCATATCTATTAATAACATGCAACACAATGTGTATAAAGTAATCTTACCCCTTTGCTGTATTCACTCTCTGAATCACTGCTAAGTTCTTCGGTATTCATATTTTCCAAATCAGATTCCCCAGGTGCAATTGGCACCGTCACTGTGAGGCTGGGGTTATGAATAAATGATTGACAGTCACTTTCTTCCATGAGGTATTTGTCCATGCTGCTTCCAAAACCACTGGCTTTATCTTTTTCTTTGTGGAAATTGAGATCTTTGCTCATTTCAGCAATTGTGCGGGTAGAAATATAGTTTTCCTTTTTACCATTTAGATCTTCTGTTTGTCTTACATCGCTGGAAATCTTAGGCTTTTTGGAAAATGCTTTTAGAATAAACTCATGTAAAGTTTGTTTCACATAATTTATCCCCTTCTTAATCCTGGCCACTGCAATCTGGAGGTTGTTTGCATCTGTGTCTTCCTCAATTGCTGTAAGATTGTCTGAGCTAAATGAACTCAATAATAAAGCCAGAAATAGGTTCAGGACCTATATTGGGTTAGGAAGGATGCGTGGAGAAATAGGGAGACAGAAAATAAAAAATAAAATAAGCACACTTTTCTGAAATATAGACCAAAATACAAACCAGCAATCAAAATCCACATTTATTTACACTTAGATAATAATGTATGGTAGGGGTAGAGAACACTGTAGACTCTTCACCACACTCTCTGTACTGTAGCATATGTTGTTGTTGTTGTTATGTGCCATCAAGTTGGACCTGACTCATAGCGACCCCTCCTTGGGTTTCAGAGGCAGTATCACTGTGGAAGTAGATTGCACCATCTTCCTTCTGGGGAGTGGTTGGTGGATTTGAACCGCCAGCCTTCTGGTTAGCAGTCAAGTGCCTTAGGCACTATGGTACCAGAGCTCACACAGTAGCATATAGCTCTCATAAACTCTGGACACAGAGGATCAGCCATACCCACAAAGGATTATCATGGTGAGCAAAGAGATTGGCCTCCCTCATTATCATTACGTCATTCCTAAATTCATCACTATAGCAGGAATCCTTTCATCAAATTCCCTTTTATGGGCCTATAAATGTTTCCCTGATAGTCCCCACCATTACTATTTGTCACCTGTAAGGACTAAGTAGAACAAGAAAATTTTGACTATGTTTACTGTGCTTAAGTACTCAGATCAAAACCTGTATTCACTTTTCTTGGAAGATAAATATCACTTGTTGCAATAAAGGTAACATGTAATGTATGTATAGTTCCTGTAACACAATGATCCAAGAATTGTGCCAGCTTGCTACTTAATGACGCTTTTAAAGCACAGAAAAGGGCCTGCCTGTTGAACTTGATTCAAATGAGGAAACGGCATTTTGATTGGTTCATTCCCAATCATTTTGGCTCTGGAAGAAGTTCTAAAAGAGGTGGAAGCAACTATTCTTGAAGAAAAATACTGGTTGTGAGCAAAACCATTTGTGTTTTTCTTCCCTGTGGTAGGGCTGCAGGTAAACTCAATATTGGGGAAAAAAAAAAAAAAAACGCAGGTGGGGAAGGAATTCTCACAAGGGGCTGAAAACACGTAAATAGTTAAATATTTCATGTGTGAAACAAATAGTAATTGGATGCCCCTTTGATGTAAATCTCTGTGTGTCTAAAAATGTCTACCTCATACATAATCAAAATTAGACCTAACTGAGGAGAAGCACTCACCCTTGATTTTAGCCACACCTAAAGCAGTTTCTCAGAGATATAAGTAGAAGAGAGCAGGTCCAAACTGTCTGTGTCTGTAAGTCTGGCTGAAGAGACTTACTGGGGTGAGGGAAATCACAGGAAGCAATTTCAATTTATCACTAAGGAATTCTGAAATGGTTCACTTACATTTTGTCCTTTATTATCAATGAGAAACTATATTTCACTATTAAATGTATGTTTTTGTATATGTATATGTTTTAATAGAGAAATTGACAGGGCTTATTTTATTACTTTTGTCTCTCTAAGCAATTTAATATTTAATAGACTTTCTTTTCAATAATATAAATCTGCTGCATTACTTCTTCACTTAGAATACAAACTATGACACTCATTCCATCGAAAATTATAACAAGGCTCTTAATATTTTATTATAATCTAATGGATGTCACAAACTAAAATCAAATACATTCTGTATCATCATCCATTATCACAATTGGCTATAAATGGTAATATAAAATGTATATTTGATTCAAAGTCTCATTCTGATGAATAGTCTTTACTAGTTTCCCAATGAAGACTTGAGTTGACTAAAATGTTCTATTTTCTTCAATTATCCTCTAAAATTCATGGTTATTAACCATTTCAACTAATTGGTAGTAAAATGACCTAAAGAATAAATGAGAGAAAGAAAAAAAATAAGTCTGTCTAACATAAAACTGTAACACACAGAGGACTATACTAGAAACATAATTTTTTTTTTTCAGATTCTAATCAAACATTATTGGTAGTTCTTCATTTAAGAGTTGGTTATAAATTTTGTGAATTATACACTTGTTTTTTTCTCATTTGTTGTTGTTGTTGTTATGTACTGTCGAGTCGGACCCAACTCATAGTGACCCCTCCTTGGGTTTCCGAGGCAGTATCACTATGGAAGTAGATTGCCCAACCTTCCTTCCGAGGAGTGCCTGGTGGGTTTGAACCGCCAGCTTCTGGTTAGCAGTCAAGTGCCTTAGGCACTATGCTACCATTAACCAATAATTAATGAATGCCCAATATGACTCAGCATCACCAATTTTATATGGATGAAACATACACAGCTCTATGTCCCATCAACTTATAAATATAAATCTAATCACTTTTTACCAAGGTTCATGCTCAAATACTATATTATGCACTCCTCGGAAGGAAGGTTGGGCAATCTACTTCCGTAGTGATACCGCTTTGGAAATCCAAGGAGAGATCACTATAAGTCGACTCGATGGCAGTGAGTTTGGGTTGGTGTTTTTTTTTTTTTTGTATTCTTTGAAACCTCAGTTCAAAAACTTCCTTGAATAACAATGTAGACCTCTCTTCTTCCAAGTGTCAAGAATATTTTACTTTTGTCTTATCATTAGCACTTAGCACTTTTTCTTTTTCTAATAATTTCTGGGTACCAGTTTTTGCAGTACTAATAAGACTATAAAAAATCTTTACATTTTTAAGCACCTCACAAACCTTAAATACATTTCTTTTCATGCTGAAGGTACTAAAAAATTTGAGTGAATATTTTGTTGAGAGCGTAGTGATCCTCCTCACTTTACTTTGTACCTGAGTGAGTAATAAACATTCATATTATTTCTGACCATTGGCTTTGGTGTGATAGGTTTTGATATCCTATACCTTATAAAAAGCTGCATTTCAGTATTTTATGTCAACAATCTTGTAACAAGAAATATACAAACAAATTTCACTGTAAGAGCTTTGGGATACAAAACTCAAACTCCAAGTAGAGAATGTGCATTTCATTTCATATTTGCAGGAATGTGTAATCTTATATACAGATAGAAAATATATTCATTAATACAACGTGAGGATGATAAGAAATGTTAATAAAATGTGTATTTGGTTCAAGTCTCCTTTTGATGAGTAGTATTTATCAGTTTCCTGATGAAGACTTGAACTGACTAAAATATTCTATTTGATGGAATGATAATTCATGATGTGTATATTTTTGTTCAGTAAGGGTCTGGAGTTTGCATGGCTTCATTCATTCTGTGCAGGTCTGGTACAGTCCCATTTAGTATGTGATCTGATGAATTGGTTTCTATCATAGGTTCTAGAAGACATTTGGCATGGGGACTGACTGCAAGGTCAGTAAATTGTCAGCAACTTCTTTTTAAGCCAGTGGGAAGTGAAATTACTTACCATATGGCTGTTACCATACCCCACCTCCTGGAATACTGGATGAGGGGTCTTATGCCAAGCTGACTGTATGAGCAAAGCCAATGTGGGAACATTGAAAACTGAGGTGAATGGCTAATGACAGAGCATCTTATCCCAATTTTCTCCTGCTTGTAACCTTGAAAGTTTTCAACAATGAATGTAAGAAAGAAAGAGAGAGAGTACAAGCTAAGAAAATACTAATGGAGAAACAAGGAGCCATGCAAAAGAGGTCCTATAGAGCAGTGATTGGCAAAGGCCAGATAATAAATATTTTAGCTTTTGTAGGCCACAGGGTCTCTATCAGAATTACTGTGCTATTGTAGTGTGAAAGCAGTCATAGACAATATGTAAATGAATAAGCATTGCCTGTGTTCCAATAAAACTTTACTTATGGATACTGAAATTTGAATTTTCTATAATTTTCATCTGTAATTAAATATTATTATTTTCATATTTTTCAACCATTTAAATATGTAAAAAGCATTTTTAACTCATAGATTTATACAAAAACAGGCAATGGTTTGGGTATGGTCTGTGCTACAGATGCCAATCTTATCTGTGACTGTATGGGCCAGTGCTTTCTTTTGTCACCTTTTCTTATGATTCCATTTTGCTATTGTTAGCTTAACCATATACTATTTATTAGTATAGGTTTAAATTTGAGTGGAATTTTAGAGGCATAAAAACCACAGATTTAATTCATATGACATCACTATCAAAATAAGAAAACTAAATAGAAAGTCTTGCCTGAAAATGAATGAGTTATTTTGAAAAATGTAAATACTGGTTATATGAGCAGAGAAATTAAGACAATATCTTATTTTTGTTCTTCCTCATATTAAAATAATCAATATTCTATTAAAATTAATAGCTTTAGATCCACCTTATCTTAAAATTACAAAAATAATAGATGATATCATCATATAACAATTTTCCATAAAAAAGTTAAATTGTTTGAACATCTGATTACATACCACTAGGTTTCCAATCACCATCACCATCATGTAAACAATAAGGCACATGGCTTGGCCAGCAACCTCCATACAGTCCCACATGGTCTCTATCCACTCTCCACACAGCACGCGGAACACAATCAGGAAGGAGTGGAAGAAGTCACTCATGTGCCAACGCGGGAGTTCACAGTCGCTGGAGATCTTGCAGACACAATCTTTATAGCTTTTACCAAAGAGCTGCATACCAACCACAGCAAAAATGAAGACGATGATGGCCAGCACCAAAGTGAGGTTACCCAGAGCCCCCACTGAGTTACCAATTATCTTTATCAGCATGTTCAATGTTGGCCAGGATTTTGCTAACTTGAAAACACGGAGCTAGAAGTAGACACAAAGCTTAGTATTAACTGCCATGAAGAAGTTCTCAATGTTTCCAATCTTTATAATAGTTCTAAATTTAAGTCAGACATCAATTATTCCTATTTTTCATTTTCAACTATTTTTAATATTCCTGTTCCATAGGCATGATTGCTACAACATAATTACCACTCACATTTTTGAAAGGAATTGTATAATTGTAGTTCAGGGTTGCTGAATTATGCTTGCTTTTAGATATTATCTCTTTTAGAATTGATCATTTAATTCTATTTTCCCATACTTCTATAAATTTTTTCATGCTCTAACTCACTCGCTCATTGCTGTCAAGTCAAATACGACTCATAGCGACCCCTCCTTGGGTTTCTTAGGCAGTATCTCCAAGGAAGTAGATTGCCCAGTCTTCCTTCCGAGGAGTGGCTGGTGGGTTTGAACCGCCAGCCTTCTGATTAGGAGTCAAATGCCTCAGGCACTATGCCACCAGAGCTCCCTTTTCCAAGCTAGCATTGGGATAAAGCTAAACATGTTAAAAAAAAGAAGGAAAGAAAGAAAAAAAAGCTTAACAAGCCTGCCTTTAAAGTGTGCTTATTTTTTAAATTGAATTCAAGACAATTGTTTTGGGCCAATGATTTCTTATTTAGTTATCAAATCCACAGTTTGAATATATCATAAATTGGTCACAACTCTGTAAACTGTAAGCTTCTCACTGCGAAGTAAGTTCCTTACTTGCCAAAACATATTTTCTTTACTCAGTTCTATTATACTATCAAGTACTTCAAATTAGAATTGAACATGTCTTCAATATCCTAAAATTCATGCTGCATTGAGCTCTTTAAGAGCATTTGTTGATAAACTTTATCTTACAAGATATCAAGATATAATCTGGCATTTTAATTCAAGACCGCAAAAGTTTTAAACAATAAGAATGAAAAGCCAAAGAAAGAATTCTATATTATATATAGAATATAATGACAATGTTGGTTTATATTTACCAATCTGAATGATCGCAGAACTGACAATCCTTCCACATCTGTTAGAAAAAGCTCCACTAAACTTAAAGTCACGATAAGGCTGTCAAATATATTCCAGCCTACTTGGAAATACTCATATGGATCCATGGCAATTAGTTTTAAAACCATTTCAGCTGCAAAGATCCCAGTAAAGACCTAAGTGACAAATACAATTTTTTTTTTCTGGTATTATTAGAAGGCATGGAATCAACATAATGATAATGACTATTGCTTAATATTTATTGAGTTTGGACAGTGTGTTAGATATTTTAAAAAAGAATATCATTACCTCATTTAATCCTACAAACTAGATAGCATTATTTTCTATAGCTCTCATCCATGCATTAAAGCATTAAAAAGCTCTAATATCCTGTCAGATCTCAACAATTTTAGATATTATTTTATTATAAGAGCATATTAAAATTCCAGATAAATGTAAACCTTCGACAATTAACACAGTCACTCTTTGCACAAAAAATTGGTATGGGTCAAGAAGTTATTCTGGAAGAAGATTAAAAAAAAGAAAACAGAGATTGAACTCTGAAATTTTAAGCCAGTCTCTTTTTTCTGGCCTCATTAATCTTAGAGTAATAAAAACATGTTGAGTCACTCTTTAAAGATTTATCAGTAGAAGGGGGAAAAGTGTTTAATTGGCATAGTGGCAGATTGGCAGATAAAGTAAGACTCCCAAAGCTTTGACACAAAAGTGCATTGCAAAACATCATTAATTCATGATACTGGTATCAAAGGATTCACTTAAAAAGGTAACACTGGAAAGGCTTGTTGATGAATCATTTGGGTACTCTGGTGCAAAGATACTGACAAAAGGAAATGGTTAAGTTTATAACTGTATACCAAAGACTGCAGCAGAAAGCACCCAGACCTGGAGCTAAGAAATGAGAGATGTGATGAATCCTTTTTGAGTTCCCAGTGATTCAGTGGACTCAGATAGATGTTACTGGCCATCTACCAATAATTATAGTCTAGAACGTCTCGCTTTTTTCCAAAGAGGAATGGAGGGAAGAAAAATGCCAACCTGCAGAGTATAGGGGATACAAACATCCTGACTCGGAATACTCATAAGCAACTTTGGAGACAAGACAGATATAAACTCTTTGGCTTTAAAGATCAGCTGTTTTGGGACCATGGTAAAAGTAAAATGATCTTAGACATTTACAAAGACACCCAGAGTACCATGATTTATGAAGAGCCATAAGCAGGCACTCTTTGGCCCTGAAACATAATCTCTGCTTCATACATGTCAGAAACTAGCACCTTTGTTGTAAGGCCATTAAACTAGAGTGTGATGAGCACTCACATAAGAGATCATTCTGGCATCAACTTTCCTAACCACATTTTACATTCTCCTGAAGTCAACACATCACCTGCCTGCCTTGTGTCTTCTGTGTCTGGTCCAAACTTTTCAGTTTTTCAGTATTCCTGTTTCTAAGACTTGTTTCTGCTAATTCATTGAAGGGGTGACAATGATGATAATGATAGCTTTTTAGTACTTACTATGTGTCAGGCTAATAAGTAGAAAATGTTTAATCTCCAAAAAATAATATATATGAAATACTTTTACTTTTTTTTTAATAAATGAGAAAGACTAGAAATGCCCAGACACTTCACTCCAATTTTATCAAAACAATGCTTCTGTAGCATTTCTAAAAACATGTGGGGTATATATTTATAAACAAGCATCAATGCAACAATAAAATATATGAGAAAGTTTCAATTTTTGAAAGTGTAACTCCCAAGCTGGCAGAAAAAAACACTGTCAACTCTCAAGATGGCAACAGTTTATGAAAATAGTAATGTTTACAGAGCTCAATACTAGTGCAAAATTATTTGAAATTTGTATACGTAAACAGAAACTTGACTCGGCACGATGATTCTCATTGTGAATTCTTGATGTACTTAATTACTGAGCTGTAGGTGGATCTGACTTAAAAATGAAATGACAGTAGCAACAAAAAAAGAGAAACTATGGGTACAGAATACACCGTAACATACTCACTAAATTTCCCACAGTGAGCACGTTTTTGAATTCATCAGTCATTGGGTGATGCTCCATAGCCATAAATAATGTATTCAAAACTATGCATATGGTGATAGCAAGATCTACGAAAGGATCCATTACAATAAAATGGATCAACTTTTTAAATTTTATCCAATAAGGAGAACAATTCCAGATCAAGAAAGTGTGTGCAAATCTGTACCACCAAGGTGGGCATTTTTGTCTGGATTCTTCAAGTTCTGGGAAGAAAGGAACAAGAAAACAAAGAACATGAAGTCATCCATTTGCATATTATATTCCCATCAGATAAAAATAAACAGAGCACTTCAGTATGTAAATAAATCTTCTGATTTAGACTGGAAATTTAACAGGACTGTAGGAGCTCTGGTGGCATAATGCCTAAGGCATTTGACTGCTAACCAGAAAGCTGGCAGTTTAAACCGAGCAGTCACTCCTCAGAAGGAAGACTGGGCAATCTACTTCCGTAGAGATACCGCCTCGGAAACCCAAGGAGGGATCACTATGAGTTGGAACGAACTCAACGGCAGTGAGTTTGGTTTTTTTGGTTTGGTATAAAATTACTCTGTATTGTATAATACACAATTGTACAATATATAATATTGTATATTTTATAAGGATACTTACTTGTATCATACAATTTTGACTGACTCAAGCATCACTGAAGGAAAAGCATAGAAGTTAATGTCTGAAAGCAAACATATGGGCATCTCTCAGAGAAAATATGCCCCTGCCACGGGATGGTAAACAAGAGTACCAATGTTTCCTTAAAGGAGAAATGTATGTTTTCCACCAATATATATGCCTTCCTAATTGTGTTTTAATCTCTTGAAGGCAGAAAATTCTTCAAGAAAAGCTCTTGCTAGATGGGGTGTGTGTGGGGGAGGAATCCCTGAATATTAAGAGAAAAAATAATTTACAGATGACTCATGCACCAGACATTTCACACCATCTACCCGTTAACTCCTCACCATTAACTTGGGGGGTGAGTGAGAAAGTTGCTTTGGGTCCATTCAGAGTGGAGGATATGAGGGTGAGGCTGGTTAGCCTGAGGGCAAGGAAAGAACTAGGATGTACTTGTGGAGGTGGCTGAGGAATACAGCACATTTTTTTAAAGTGGCCACCCTTTGACCCTCTTCTCAGGAAATCTCAGGGTCTAACCACCGTTGTTCACATGCGTTTTTCAATCTGCTGTCTTTAATTCCTTTTCATCAAAATCTTAATAGGATGTCAGGTCACGGGTTACCATTTTACAAAAGGCCTTTTACAGAATGTGTTCAGAAGCAGCAATTTCTAAACATATGAAGTACATATTAGTTTCTAAGTCATATCAGAAGAGGAAACAAATCCAGAGAGTAGGCAAAATTTCTAAGATCACACAATAGAATCATAGTCTAGGTTTACCCAGTTTTCTGCATCAACTACCATTAAACTATTTATGTTTGAAAGGTCTTATTTCCCAATACTGTTCCTTCATCTCAAGGAATTTTATCCATTTTTAAAAATAATATTTTATTGTGTTTAGGTGAAAGTTTACACAGAGAATTAGTTTCCTTCCATTCGTTTTTTAAAAAACACACACAAAGGGAACTCAGTATCCACTGGTTACCTTATCATTGCTTAAAACAATTCAAATTCTTTGAGGTTTTACTAACAACTTCAGTTACCTATCTGAGGCTGACCAAGATTTTTCACAATTTTATTTTAAAAAATAAGTATAGTAAAGAGAATTTTATTACATGCCTTCCACAGTGTTTGTTAATACACTGGCTCTACTCATTGCTCTTTGTCTGAGATTGGGATCATTCAACATATCCTCAGAAAGGAGATAAGAACTGGACCGTCTTTTCTTGTGTATTTGATTGGTTGTAACCTGAAAAGAGATGATTAATTAATCTTTACAATAAGACTGTAATAAGTTGTAGGTATAAAATAAAATCTTGCTTATGTAGCTACAACAGGTAACTAAAAGTACAGACTAGATTGCTGGGTTCTAATCATGGCTCTGCGACTTGTTGGCTGTGTATCTCTCTGTGTCTCAGTTTCATTGTCAGCAAAATGAAGATAATAATTGTACCTGCCTCATGGTCTTCTTATGAGGATTAAAAGATTTTATACTTATGACTTTTTTTTAATCTAGCTGCTTTTATTGTTATAATAACTATCATCTTCTCTCTACGTTTTTGGTCTCCGATTTATTCAAATAATGTTACTTTGTAAGAAGAGTCCTTTATGAAAAGAGCTAAACAAGCATTGAAGTAGTGGTGTGTGTAAAGGGATAGAATCCCAGCATTCTCTGATAAATTTTGTAATTATTTGTCTAAGTAACAGCATAACAGAGGCTACTGTGGTTATTGGTTCTTAATGCCAAGGAAGATTTCATGAACTGATCTCAACATTTAAGATGATAAAAGCCTCAGTTTAAAAAGGCAATTTAGATTGATAAGGACTACAAAGGCAAATGCAAGCTCCATCTAAAAGAGGTGACTACAATTCAGCTCTAAAAGGTTGCTGCCATTCAGGAATATGGGCTCCATCTTAGAAGATATACTCACTCTATGTAATATTTCTTAATTTTAAATTTTTAATGGCAACTAATTCAAACTTAAAACACCATGGCTGGTTCAGTGTAGGCCAACAATACAAATACACACATGCATGTGTGCACGCACACACACACAAACAGCTATACAAGTCTGCGTCTATCTTATCTATCTACTTATCTATCTGCTTGTGTATATGTTGTGGTAGTTCAGCTGGTGTGTCAGCTTGGCTGGGCCCGGTTGAGTGGCTGGGCAGCTGGATGTAGTATTCCCCGTGATGAGACTGGCAATCAACTCCATGGTGGAATCTAGTGTGAGCTGCGTAGCTGCCCTAGGGATGTGGTCTGCTTCCTGTATATAAGCAGAAGCCTTGGGGAATGGTCTCTAGCTTATGGCACATTTGGACCCTGCATGTAGCCATGTCATTGTTCAGCCTCCCATGCTCTGCCGACTTTGGGACTTACAATGGACTTAAATCAATGGCCTGCAGTGTGGTTTGGTGACATCGAGACTGTGCCTTTTTATTTGTCAACTTTGGGCTTGGCAGCCTCAGCAGCCAACAGCTGTCTGAGTGAAGAAAAGTCTCTAGCTTCAGTGGGCCGGGAGCTAGAGGCAGAGCTGAAGCCCAAGGCTGAGGGGCTTTCACCCAGCCCCTAGAGCTTGGCACTTTGAACTTGGACTTAAAGCCTCCCAAACTGTAAGAGAATAAACTCCTATTTGTTAAGGTCATCCCATTTGTGGTATATTCATGTCAGAGTGACACTAGGTAACCAGAAAAAGTGTGTATGAATATATACATACCATTTTACAAATATATATTACATATATATATATACATATATATATATATATATTTGCAATATATAAATTTCACAAACATATAATTATGGAGAAAGTTGTATAGTTGTGTGTGTGTGTATAGTTATATATGTATATAAAACATAGACATGCATGCATAGATATATGCATGTGGGTATATACGCACATTGTATATGTACACACACACATATTGATAGCTGATGTTTATTGAGATCTCTCTATAAACATACTTTCTCGGCTTCAGTATCTAATCAGTGGTTTTCCAGAAGTGGAGATTTTTCTTTTTCCCAAATCAAACAAGAATAAAGGAAAAAGAATTATTTTCAGGTATAGAGATTATATTATTTGTAATGTAATTTTTCATCTAAACCATGTATTATGCCACTTTATTATGTTTATTGCATTTCCATTGAATCTTAGATAATCCGCTCCTATAGTTTTGAAGTTTCAGTTTTATAATTTATTATAGTACTGTCTTTTTTTCTGTGGTAAAAATAAAGGTCTAAATGAAAATAATTCATTAAAAATACACAATAATCTCCAAATCTGATATAAATTACTTAATATCTTACAGATTATACACGTTGAAAAGCAACACAACAAAGATCTGACCCATAAAAATTTAACATGCTTGTATAAGGAAAAATGCCTTGAAAGAAGGGCTGAAGCTGTATCATGCAAGCAGAGGTCCCACATTACCTAAAAGCACATGCACTCATTCAAACTGAAATGCGTGTGTGGCCATAGCTTTGATGGAACTTAATTCTCACTTGAAATGCTGCATTGTCTGCAAGTTACATGAATATGTAGCATGAACGCAAAGCTTGCTGGGTTAGTGAAAACCCTTGATGATATTTAGTGCAACACAGTGAATGACTTAAAGAGATACCCTAGAAACTTCAGGAACCTGGAAGATCTCACCTTCAAGCCTAATTAGACCTTTTACTTCAACCACTCAGTGACTTGCTAAATTCCTGGAATTGTTGTATTGGAGTGGTTATTTTTGTTGTTGTGTTATTTTTGGTGTTTCATTTTTATGTAAGTATGTTTGTATCAATGAATGTATTTTGGTTGTTAAATTTTTATTTATTGACTCAAGACAAAATTGAAAATGAAATATTTTTCATGTGAACAGTAAGCTTCATCGATACAGGGGAATTCTAAAGCATAGCTACTCTAAATTACTTCCAAGAACCTACTGTACTTTGGAAAGGCACAGAATGTAAGTTCCTAACCAGAGGGCTTTTATTTCAATCTCAGGGCTACTTTATTAGCTGAGTGACCTTGGGAAAATTGCATTATTTTTCTGTGCCTCAATTTCCCCAGGTATAAAACAGGGATGATAACACAATCTCACTCACTAAGGTGGTGGTAAGAACTAAGGTATATATTAAGTAGAAACCTAAAAAAGTACTAAGGTATTTATTAAGTAGCAACTCTCTTTACAGAAGTGGGATCTTCTATACACTAATACGGTTAGCATTTTCTGTGCTGATGTCTCTTTCATAAATTGTTTTCTAAAGGAATAATTTTTTTTTTATATTGAGTGATAAAATCAGTAGATAAGTACATTATTTTTTAATAGTGTTCTAAAAATCTTTGAATTAGATGCCTACAATACATGGCATGAGGTTTAAAGTTAATGAGTTAAAGACACATCGCAAAATGCAGAGCCATTCACAAGATCAGAGAGAGGGCCCCTGCAGCGGAGACACTGAGCAGGAGTAAGGGCCCAGCCATGCCTGAGCTATTGAAAATGTCCTTACGCTCTCATCAGAAGTTGCCTTATCTATTATCACCTCTGGCAGAAGCTGTCCATTGGGGAGCATGAGGGCTGAGGGTCCATCAACCAGGGAGACCACACCATTGCAGTCCACGGCACTGTGCATCTTCCCATTCACCGGCAGCATTGGGGGGGACCTACTGGCTTGACTGATGTTACTGCTGCGCCGCTCCCTTGGTCTGTAGGGCACGAACAGGGAGCCCCTTCTGCTTTCATTGTCTCCGAAAATGCTGTGCTCATCATCAGCAAAATCAGTCTCAGATCCTATATCTTTTCCTCGACCCTTGAAACTAAAAAGACTTGTTCTGCTGCTGCGCCTTCCAAAAAATAAGGAGCCACGCATGCTGAGTGGTGACTGCAAGAGAAATAAAAGATGACAGGTATCTGCTGAAATGCCTGAAAACAGAAGTGTACTTCTCATAACTGCCACTGAAACCACTGACATAAATGCAGGTATCTCGAAAACAAATCTAAACTAAACCCACTGCCATAAAATTGATACCAACTCATAGTGTCCCTATAGGACAGTAGAATCACTCCTAGGGTTTCTAAGGTTGTAATCTTTACGGAAGCAGAATGCCTCATCTTTCTCTTATGGAGCAGCTGGTGGGTTTGAACCACTAACCATTTGATTAGCAGCCAAATATTTTAACCACTAGGCTACAAGAGCTTCTTCCAGGTATCTCAGGATTGATTGAAAAGAAACATTTAAAAACAAAGCGATTCAGCAGGAAGAATTCATCCAAATAAGGATGAAATGATTTTAAGAATTCATCCTTTCAAGATCACTTATTTATTGCTGTATAGCTTTCTACTATCCTACCCTCAAGTCGCCTCTCTATTCTGTTTATATTATTCATCTGGCTATTAATAATATGCTGTTTAAAAAGTTTTGAGCATTGTTGTTGTTGTGTGCCATCGAGTCAGATCCGACTCATGGGGACCCCTCCCTCCTTGGGTTTCTGAGGCATATCATTATGGAAGTAGATTGCGCAACATTGGTACTCATTAATTAGCTTTTCATATGTAAGTACCTAAGTTCCACAAATTGAAATGTCCTTGAGAACAAAGGCTGTGCCTTATGCTGCTTCACATTCCTTTGCTTGCAACTCCACCTCATTCATTGAAAGTTCAATTAAGGTTAAGGAAAATTTTTCGATACTAGTGAGTCCACAAAGTCACAAAATATTAAAGCTTGGAAAATAAACTCCTCAATACCAAAGAGAGAAGCAAACTCATGGTGATAAGACTCATGTACAGAATAAGCCACAAACTCAATTGAATGCAAGTTATTTGGAAGTACCTAATTCAATAAACATTAGCACTTAACTATGAGAAGGGCAAAGTGATAGGCATTATGAAAATGGCAAAGTCCTTGCCTCAAAACTAGCTCATACGACTGAATGAAATGAATGAAATGACAACTTCTTCATTTAAAAGATTCTGCTCTGGAAAAACTAATTACTAATTTCATATGGAAAAGAAAGAGACCTCGAATAAGGAGAGCACTTCTCAAGAAGAAAAACAAACTGGGAGGTCTCACACTCCCAGATCTTAAGAACAACTATACAGCCACAGTAGTCAAAACAGCATGGTACTGGTACAATGATAGACAGATAGACCAATGGAATAGAATCGAAAGCTCAGACATAGACCCATCCATATGTGGACAACTGATCTTTGACAAAGGCCCAAAGCCCATTAAATGGGGAACGGATAGCCTCTTTAACAAATGCTGCTGGCAAAACTGGATATCCACCTGTAGAAAAATGAAACAAGACCCATACCTC